TATTATATTACGTTACTTAAGATTTGTTTATTTGTTTAATATTTTTGATATAAATTTTCTTACGTTTATATAAAACAGCTCGTATGGTGAAAATTGGCTTTACATGTTGAAACTACATGAATCTATTGGCGAAAATAGGGTTAAATTTGCAGCAGCAATTCAAGAGATATCTGAAGAAATAACGGCGCTTTATAAAGAAACAGATAAAAGTAGAAAAAATGTATGTTCGCATAAAGTAGACTTGTTTTATTTTTCTTTAAACTTAATAAAATATTAATTTATGATTAGCTTAAAGATTCGGGTCAAAAACATGAAAGAACAATTCAAGATGCAGAACAAGCATTGGAAAAGGTTTATTTATCATGTTTTAATTGTAAATGCTTAGTATTATTAAGATGGAATTTCTTATATAAATATCTTAAATTTAGGCTAAAAACAAATATGAGACACATAGTGAAGACTGGGAGCGCTCAATTTTAATAAAAAATGGTGAAGCAGTACCTAGTTTGAAACCAAGAACCTTAACAAAGGCTATTTTTTCTAAGCAGCCAAAGTCTCCCACACAGGTATAATTTAAAATAATGATAATTTAATATCTTTATGAACTTTTATAAACATGCATGTGTGACATTTCTTCTAGCTGGTAAAGATGGAAGAAGATGCGAGGAATAAAGCAGCAACTGCCAATGATACTTATAAACATCATTTATCAATTACAAATGCGGCTCGACACGAATATTTTGATATACATTTACCTCGCATGGTTACGGTAATAACTTACATCCTATGATAATAATCCATCTGTTAATTATTTCTAATTAATAATATAGTTAGCATGGTTTTATTTAAGGCACTCAAAGATATTTCCGACGAATGTGATATAGGCCTACAATATCATTTAGCTCGTTATACCTACCTTTTTGAGAATACCATGGTAAGCGACGCATTGGTTATAAGTCCCGTCAATACCGAAGATGGTAACTATTTTATGTAGTTATTCTGGAATAAGATTAGGATAATTCACTAATTGCAATTATTTATTGATTTATTTATTTACTTTTTTTGTAGGTCCTTCTATGCGAAAGATCGTTGAACAGATCAATAACGAAGAAGACTATTACTCATATGTACAAACATGTAGTGCAAAAGCGAGAAAAACGAAACACCATGATATCCCATACGATCAATATAATATGGTAAATTTACAATAAATCATATTATTAGTTCTTTATTTGTTAGTATTTACGTATTAATTTTTTATTTTTATTTGTTTACTTATTCATTTATTTGTTTGTTTGTTTTATTATTGAGTCTGAGCAAGCAATTAATATAATAAATCCAAAAAATATTTTTGGAGTTGACTTGGCTGAACAAATGCGAAGAGATAACCATGAAGTTCCTTTGATTTTAATTAAGTGCGCAGAAGCAATTGAGCGAAATGGCGGTAAAAGCTGTTAAAAAAAAGAATTAAAGTCAAGTTTTTATTCATAAATTTCAACATATTGATTTCAAGTTTGTGAACACTAAATCAAACTTTGCTAGGACTTGAAAGTCAGGGCATTTATCGCGTTTCAGGTGTTCAATCACATATTCAAAAATTGCGGGCATTATTTGACAGAAGTGTGTATTTTAAAATCATTTACAATTTTTATATTGTCAAAACAGCATATGTTTATTCGTAAAGTTTTCTTCATTAGACGCGGAAGCTGCAGACTTGAATGCGGAAGAGTGTTTTTCAGATGTCAATAACATCACTAGTGTCTTAAAACTATGGTTTCGTGAATTACCGGATCCACTTTTTCCAAGAGAAATGTATCAAGATTTTATCAATGCTGCAAGTAAGTTCGTTTAAAATTGGTATTTTTTTTTTTTTTATTTGAATGTGTAGTTAATCCATAATCTTAACGATTATTTTTTAAAGAAACTCCTGACGAAAAAAAACGTGTTCTAGAACTACACGAATGTGTTAATAATCTTCCAGATCCAAATTATAGCACTCTAAAATATTTAATGGGACATTTACATAAGTATTTATTTGTCTATTTTCCTAATATATTTACCACTTTGAAGTAATTTCTAACAGGAGTATTTCACTGCAGAATTGTTCAGAATCAAGATATAAATAAAATGAGTGTTCAAAACCTTGGAATTGTGTTTGGGCCGACATTGATGGGCAGTCCCGCAATTTCAAATCCAGTATCATTACAAAATTCAAGTTTACAAAATTCAAGTACTGCACCTATAGCACCCATGCCCTATGTTGCTTCAGATGGCGGAGGGTTTAACGATATGGGTTGGCAATGTAAAGTTGTCGAAATTATATTGGAAAATTACATTGCTATATTTGTGTGAGTATCTACTTTGAGTTGTTGGAACTTAAGAATAATTAACTTATAGAATTTCTTTAATATAAGTGAGTAGAGTTTGAAAGAGTAATTCAAGCTCAAAGAAAATATAGTGGATCGATCTAGGAATGATTATAAGTAGTTATGATTTTATAACCTTTGTTTTTCCTTTTCAGGCAAAAATTTGTTGTATTATTCTTGAATTTTTTTCTTTCCCCCTTTTTTTTTATTTAATATTCTGTATTTATTCATCAATTTGGAATTAAATGTATGTTATAATTTTTTTTTCTAGGTTGAACAGAATAATTAATAATTTGAATTTGAGATTCAAATTGTTTTTCCCCTTTTTTGTAAATTAAGCTTGTTTTTTTTTTTTAATGTCATAATTATTGCAAAAAGATAAACATCAAATACACAAATGCGTTGAAGTTCTCAATAATAAAATAAGATAAAGGCATATCCACAAGATGAAGATAAAAATATTTACAAGAATTTGGATCTAAGTCTTACATGTGGTAGAAACTATTGATAAGGTAATTCATGTCACATTATTTGAGTCATAATTTTAGAAATTGAATCAAATTCCAAAACAATTTTACCACATAATTTTCACAGCTTGATGCAAGGTCTACAAAATTTTTTGTGAGTTATCGTTATCATGTGTATTAATAATTGCCTCTTTTCGTAATCGTTGTTATCAATCATAACCAATCATAATTTTACAAATCTATTTTACATTATAAAGCTATGAAGAGTGTTAAACATTCTGAAGAGTACGTTGAGCGTAATTCTGAAATTCTTATTGAAAAACCTATACTTATTTACATAACATTTCACTATTATCGATTGTCAAGAAGACTCCAACTTTATGGCTTTATTGATTTTATATATAAATATAAATTCACCTCATTTTAATACTAACTTCAAAACCTATCTTCACATTTATGGCGCATACAAAAATTAAATTAAAAATGGTCTAAAGTCTTCAAACTTGACCAGACTTCTTTTTTTTTTTTGTCAAACTGTATATACAGTACGTACAGAGGTAGATATATTATTTCGTGGACAAAAATTATATTTGACCAGTCCTGGTAGACTAACGGTTAATCTTAAGATCAGTACTGAGCTAAAAAATTGATCTGCTCTCAGTCTTAAGGCCAGACCGGTTTGGACCAATTTGGACTAAGTATTAAGACTATCAACCAGAACCAGGACTAGACCAAAATGGGTCAGGCAGTACTCCCACCTTACTAATCTAAGTGGGTTCGGATATCGGTATAACAAAATTTATATCCCATAAATATAAGCTATTTGTTCAAAACTTTTGCTTCGTTCGGTATGGAGAAAGACGAATGTATTTTGCATAGTTAAATAATAGCTATTTCTAACTGAGTCCATAATAGCTGACCCGGCAGTTATGTAACTTTGCGTGATTTTATCAGACTCAATTTTTGTATGCGTAATATTTTGTCAAAAAAAAAGCAATAAGCAAAAAAATATGGATAATATGATCGAGATTTGTCCCTACCAATCGGTCACTGAACGATTATTTATATAACCAAGCGCTTCTACCGTGAGCTTGCTAAGAGGTGGTTAGGAAAACCGCAGATCATTATGGTTTCAAAAATTAAAGATGTATCTCATCAGGTAGAAGACGTACCCTAACCCATTTCACCACCATCGATATAGGCCGTGACATGGTTCCTGGTTTTAGGCAATTCGTTCCCTCGAATAAAAAATACATTCGTATTTAATTTTCGTATTTAATTAAGTAGCTTTAACTTATCTGAGAGTCTGAGTATCTCTGTAAAGAAAATAGAAAATTAAATATCACATATTACCAAAATTTTTCAGGCTAACGCTAAAATAAGGAGATCGCTTATTTTCAGGCCTAACTTCATTAGCTAATTCTGTTTCCAAAATCGAAATGAGTTTCATCTAATGACTTCGCGATTTTTGTACGAATGGCACTTAAAATTTCCTTGTACGTACGTACTGGAATTAAAATTGTGACGCGAACTACGTAGATTAGAATAGTGATCGTACGGTACTGTGTAATATCACTGAAAATTTAAAATTGGACAGTACTTGCAGGTTTCTTCTTGGAAGCGCTTGTATAGAACGCATCTCAAATTAAACATTTCACATACAGTATCACATGACTTTGCGCGATTGACGCGCCATATACAAGGTCAATTTACGCATCATAATCCTTAGTAAATTAAATAAATTGAGAGGATTAATCTATTCCGATGATTTATTTGATTTTTTGTCGTTAAAATCGGGTTATTGATCTAGAGATGCGTGCGAGATGATAGCAAATTATGCCACATGGCGTCATATCTCGCGAAAGATAAAACAAACATTAATATTATTGATAAAAATAATCAATTAGACTAAACTCTTTGTCATGTGTTTTTAGTTTTACAGATGGTATGTCAGAATTCCCATTATTTTTATTATTTTAATTAGTGAGTATATAAATAGTATTGTAATTTGTCTCAGAATGTGTAACACCATATTTTTAAACATTTATAAATACAGATACGCAGAGGTTCAAATCAGTGAAGAATATTTAATATTCTCAATGTTCTCTATATAAAATTAATAATAATAATTTTATTATTACTATATTTTTGCATAATAACGCTCACCTGCACATTATTTCGAGTATAAGCATTAGCATTATTTTGAGACAATTAAAAAATTTAATATAAAAGTAAACAAACAAAAATGCTTTGTAACTAGAATTTAGTACAAGTGAACATTCCTTTAAGCTTTAACAAAAATTGTTTTTTAGAACAACTTTTTGAAGTTTGAAGATTTACTTAATAATAAATCCAGTTCTGAAGTATTTTTAAATCTTACTATAAATAAACATATCTTACTATTTTGGAATGCATATAAATATTATTTTGAAACTATATACAGTATATTATTTTTAGAAGGCATGATTTTTGACTAACACTCATGAGCATTATTATGCAAAAATATGGCATTATTTACAAAATTCTTTTACAATATAAATCAGTGTTGTTGCTAGACCAGTCCAGTGAAGATCACTGAAAACTGGATAGTATTTAGGTTTTAGTAGTAAGTTGTCACTAGACCCTTCTAGTTATATTTTTTTTTACCACCAGATGGAAGTTCCAGTGAAG